ACGTTCAGTGTTTGCATACAAATAAGAGGTTCTGGTAATGATCCATTATAAAATTTTGAATTTAAATTGAAAACTTAATAAGAAGAAGCGGAGAAAATTGAATAAAAGTAATCGTTTACTTCAAGAGTAAGTTCTTGTAGCGTAACGTCATTTATTTTTCTTTTATAAGTCATAATGGAAGTTGGTAGCCTATAAACTCAAATCAATGGGGGCAATTTGCAAAATGCAGTTACTAAAAAAAGAGGGGTTATTAATATTCAAATTTCATTTTGACTAAATCTTGCACTGTCTTCAGCGTTCTAAAAGAAAATATGGATCTTTGGGTAAGTACTTGCAACATTAGCAAGTAAACTGAGCTTAATGCAACTGCGACGTAGCAATAGGCTTACGAGTACTTCTATCTGCAGAACTGCAGTCAGTATAGCGCTCCAATTACTCCAATTATAACATAAAATGGGGAGTAATGTTATAAAATCAATAACCAATAATTAAGCAATTGGAGTTTATACGTTAATTAATTACGAACCTATGGGTTCAACTAAAACCGTTTATCTACGTTAACATTGATAGCGGTATAATATTAATTGCACTGCAAGCTTTTGACGTACAGTAGGTACATAATTTTAAATTGGATGTTGTCACACGTACAAATCATTTTAATTAAATGCAATGCAAAATATATATCTGGGCTTATACTAATTAAAAATCTCTGACAAATAACAAGGGAAAATGAAAAATAAACACCATCTACAGATTTTTCACTCGCGAGGTAGATGGAAGACAAATTAATTACCTTTCTACCGTTGGCAATAACTTAATTTATTAAAATTTCTATTTTATCATGAAGGAAGCTTAATTAGATTCTTATTTCCTTGCTAACGGTTTGCTCATTAAACGCTAATGTTAAAGATTTCCCATTCTATGATACACCACTTATCTAGAAGGCTACTGCGAGAAAATAGAGTGGAATAGGAAACTGAAATTAACATTTATATAGCAATTTCTTGGTATTTTTATCTTGTCAATTTTATTTGTATGATATAAAAAGAAGAGGAATTGGTTTGGCTGTCTGTGCAAATAAACATCTTCAGTTGGGACGTTTGAATAAACAAATAAGCACTCTACCTATTTTTATTTCTACGTATTGGTACACTAGCAAAAACACGTGTGGGAGTTTGCTGGTTTCCGAGCATCAAATTTGTTCCCACCTGTCCAATTTTTAAGAATAAGTTAATGTTCAAAACAAATAATTTGCAATTTATTACATACTTTACGCAGAGGTGAATCGTACTGAAAATATAAATTTAATATAACGATGTGAGAGACGACGATAAATTTAAAACAAATTTAAAATGTCATTATGCAAACATAAATGACGAGAGCGTATTTTCCTTCTAATAATATTAATGCTAGGACCAGGGAGAAATACCGGTAGGCACGAGAGCCTTATCCCATTCTCTTTCAAATAAGGCGTCTATCGTCGAAGTGTATACAGTTTAATGAAAAATAGTGGAGCGTATACAAATACAAACAAATTTTGAAATGAGCATTAGTTTATTGGAAATGTCTACATATGAAACTTTTTTTTAATTTTTTTGTAAATAGCATTGAGCATTGTTTACATTAGAAAACGTACAGCATGCGTACACAGTAATTTTGAAACCGGTATTAGTTTTAGTTTCATTCAAAGTACCTACATATGATATTTCATGTAACTGCTTTCATAAATCATAACTAAGAAAGTTGCTATTGAGCATGCACAAAACCAAATTTTAAAACTGGTGATTTACTTGTATTCCAAGGGCCTATGTATTAAAGTTCAGTCTTTGAGGAAAATACGCTAAAAAGCATACTGTCGCAAACCAAAGAATTAATAAAGCTCGACAAATCCACGCTATATAGGACATGTATAAACTTTTCGCATTTTTAAGATAATTTAATTCGGAAAACTTTTTGCAAAAATTCAATTTTGACCTCGTGAAATGTGCTTGACTTGAACACTCATTATTTTTAAACGTAATTTAGGCCATCAAGCAACTTCTATCATTCAATTTATACGTTACGCTATACTTTAAAAGCTAGAAGACGTTAACTCAATATTGATATACGGCGCATAGAGTGGATTAAATCTCTCGTGACGTCGTATTAACCATAACACTTCGGCTCGCAAATTTAATAAAATCTGTTATAACGCCTATTAGAACTTTTGTCCTATTGTAATAATTCAAGGCGAGGCGTAATAATATTTTATTGTGGTGCTCAGAATTAGCAGATATTAAATATACAGAATAATTGACAATATAGGCATTCACGAAAACATTGTAATACACGGCATTTTTTTAAAAATGATACCTACATAAACTCCCGTATAGATGGTTAAGGGTTAACCTTAATCTAATATAACGAATTTTATATATCACTGCGACTGGATTGAATTTTACGACGGCTAGCTCAGTATATTCAATTACCTTGCGGAATGGTTCATTATTTTTTTTAAGAAAGATTTTTGAATACTCGTAATTTAACTAATTAATCAAACACCTGGTACAAAATGGTATTCAAAATAAACGCCTTTGGATGATAAATAAAATTTAATATTACTTAAATTTCGACTTCACAATTAATGGAATAAATATTTACTAATATTTTTGGTTTAGGTTCACGTTCACTTATCATTTATCAACATTCACAAATTTGTTCACGGGATTTTTCCCGTGGATCGAACTCTTCAGGAATGTTAGAATGACTTTAAACATAAATCTTATAGAAAATCCCAAAAACAATCCACTCCCATTGTTACATAACGCAAAAAATTCAAAATAACCTAAATTTATCGATGAGTCAAAATTTTCTCCAGTGGATGGTTGATTTTCTCTTTTGAATGGGTAGCAGCAATTTAGAAAATTGGAAGGTGGGACGCCTTTTTAATACAGATAGTTGAAATTTGATTTATTTAACTGGAATAATTACCAATGTCCTGCAATATGGAAATGTCCAAAATTACCCTTTGTAACGATTTACTTCTCCATTAGGAAGCATTATTATTATTGTTTAGAGTATATTACTTGTCGAAAAACCCCTGTAACATTTGTGTCGATGTGAAAGGTGGCTCCACCTAGTTAACCACGCAATTTTCCGCGCGGATTGCCAACGCCTTGATTTTTGGTTGACGATTGTCATTTCTCCTTTTTCCCTTCGTAAGCCTTATCGAAATACACGTCGATTAAAAAACAGCTGAAAGCGTGAGGTACAACCCATGGAATTTTGATGTCCACCTTCCAAATATATTGATTTCTGGCAATTGAATTCATAATTTGGCAATTCCGAAGTAATTAGTTTGGCCGGCATTCACCTACGCTCCTACTACTCCTAGTAAGGATTGTGCATTTCGTTTATTTAGAGTGTACCTTCTTTAGGTTTCGGCTGTAATTTGTTGTAATGCAACTTCCATCGACAATTGTCGCCAATAGGTAGGTAAATTTTATGTCATCAAAGAAGAGAGGTTACCTTTAATTTCTTTTAGGGTTCAAGTTCAAGTTCAGGTTGAAGTTCGAGTTCCAGGCACATTTTACCTTACCTACTAATTCTTGTTTCGATATACAAGTTTTCTAATTCGGCGATACCTGTCATTACGGACGCCCCTTGCTTACATCTAGATCTACTGATAACAAGCGACCATTTTGTTGTGGAATAGGTCAGCGGGTCATGAAGGAGATTTAATATCGAGAGATAACTTCCATACTTCTTTAGCTTCTTATTTTGATCCTTTAGGGTTATATGCGATCACATTTAAGTGAATATGTGAACATCAGTACTTGTTTAGTATCTTTACCATCTCGGTTAAATTATGATCCAGTTTGAAACGCAAATGTTGTTGGGGTCCACCACTTCCTTCTGAAAGAGTTGACCAATTAAGTACCGTTTTGCGCATGCAAACTAATGCCGATTCAAAAGTTCGTTTTACAAGCCATGCTGATCTGGTGGAACAGAATCAACCCCTTAAGGTGTATTGTAAAAAATGACCCGTATATACGTTTTGAAGCATCAGGGATGCGAATAAAACATAATCTCGGTTATGTCGGTCTATCTGTCGGTCCATCTGCACTCTCATTTCTCACTAAACGGTTGGACCGATTGGAACCAAATTTCCAAATATTTATCTATGTGAAAGCCGATAACAAGCATTCAGTATTTCTAAATCGAAAGGAACATGAAAAAACCAAATCTCTTCGGGAGACTATACAGTCATAATTTTTAACCGATTCCGATGTGCTTCTTACTCAACGAAGGTACGTAACATAATCGTCAAGTTGAGAATAATATTTCCAAAGTAAAACACTTTACGGAATATAATACTGTCTATAACCATAAATTACAAGAATGATGTGCAGCTCCTCTACATTATCTTAACCTTTTTTGGCCAGGAACGTGTATTTTGCCAAGTTGCCAAATTAATATTATTAAAATAATACGACGGATTTTCTATTTGTTTAGAACGTGTCATTGCACAAGTTTTTCTTAATTGCAACGATTCTAAAACCATTCCAGCAAGTAATTAATTATGTCTATTGGAAAAAATTAAACTAAGTATACTATTACGCTATAAAGTTTATGGAGGTAGTAAAGTTAATAACCGAAAATGGACGCATAAATTTCTACGTTTATTTAACCCAAATAGGGATTTCTTTAACTATATATCTAAGCTATTGAGATAGTAAAATTGAAATTACAATAGGAACACAACCTTGTGGTCGGTTAGATTAACAAAGTCCGAGTCCTATTTGAAGCTGGACTTGGAGAGAATAGTTATACTTAATTTACATTTACGAATTACGTTTGAGGTTAGTCCTGAGCTTTGTCCAATTTATGTAATGAATTTAATATTTGCGCCACGGGCGGCGTATAATATTGTAGTTTTCTATTTTATTGTTCTTGGTACTGAAAATATTGTACACAATTTCAGAAGTCTGTTGCCACTTTAACGTCTTTTTTTATTACAGACTCGCCATGTTGGCGGAGTACTGGCGCTTAATTGCGTTATTGTGGATACCACCTGCACTTCTAGCTACGTCTGTGGATATACGTAAGTAAATTTTTACTTTTTCGCCAATGATTCTAAGTTGCAATTCCTTCCCTAGATTCACAATATTTCTCATACGGTTTGTAAATTACCCAACCGTGTGCAAACGAGCTAGCGCAATGTCGCCTTGTAACTTTTCTAATTTAAATTTCACGTTACACCGTAGCTGTGTGGCACCGCAGGATACACGCTTTTGATTTATTAAGGTCATACGTCTCGGGGCCGTTTACAAAAACATTACCTAATTAAACTTAAAGCCCTATAGTTTCAGGATCAACTATAATATTTCACCTCCGCGCCAATCAATCTTAAAGCTCGAAATTTACTACCCCACACTGTGAAGTTTAGATAATTTCTACAATGAATTATTTCACACATTTTACAGCGAAATACGTTATTCCGTACTGCACTCCGAGTGATGATGACCCCATAAAATAAAATCGCGCATTTTACGAGCGTTCCGAAATGCAATTTTATTGAAAAATGACTTTATAAGTTCAAATCGCGAGGCTTCATCCCCACATTGTCGGAACGATTTATGCGCTGTTAAGTAGCGAAAATGCGGGACTCCTCTAATTAAAAGTAAACATGTGCAGAAGCAGGGCTTTAAAAAAAGAGGCCACTTTTTCCGTCAAGTTCAAAAATTTAAATTACATTTCCTTGTGCCGTGACGAAGATTAAGCGACATTTTACGTGCCGACTTCTAAAATCCATCTTATCACTTTAAGGTAATACTGAAAATTTATTTGTCGCAACGCGTAGTGCCTTCCAAATTTTAGAATTAAGCTCCTGGTAGTCGAAAGGTAAGTGCTAAAAAGATACTTTTCAAGAGAAAAATATGCGAATGCTTTCAACTTCTTCGGAAGTAGTGTAGAAAATGGCGCTACTTTTAAGTACAAAAATTAAATTTATTTGTTACTCAGTTGTAAACGTTGATTAACAAGACAAAACGCAAACGGGTAAACGTCATGTTTAAATGCTACTGACTTGTAAAACTGACAGCTGACCTGTAAAAATTTTACAAGTTAGTAATTTAGTAATTTCATTGGCCAGAATTAATACGAAGTCTCTGTTACATGGATAACATGATATTTTAGACATTTCTTCGAGATCAATTTAAGAACTAATTATTTACGTTTATTCACGATCATATTGTAATCAGTCTCATAATTGTCATTTTGAAGGATAAGGAAGTTGTGTTTTACAACACTTATTTTTCCAGGAGGGGGGAAAGTAGATTCTCGAGGTTAGTAATGTTCGATTCGAGGTTAGTAATATTCATTACCTACCTCGATTTAGTTGCTAATATCCTAATGGATGGCGCTCTCATCGTAACTATCGGACACAGATGACAGCTGATTTAGATGCAAATTGTTCAAAACCGCATTTTAAAAACAATCCTTATTCTTATTATGAGTAATATGGATTATTTTAAGTTCTGTGCTTTTTTTGTAAATTGCAAATGAACGACCAAACGCGAAAAAGTGAAATAAGTAAATGCGGACCGAAGTAAACACAAGTAGGAGTTGTGATTAACTTTAGCCAGATTACGGGAGATGATGGTTTGTTTTACGTAACCTAAAACTAAACGAGCACGGTGCTAAATGGTTAAGTAAAAACTAAAGCAAAAAGAAACCGTTAATTATTAAAGGATCGGTAAGTATAAAACTCGAACTTGAGTTTAATGAAATTGATTGTTACTTTAGAGAGCCCATTACTGTTTAAACTTCTGGGTGGAAAAGTTCAATTCTTGTCTATAAGACATGGAAACATTGGGTTGTTCTTGCGACCCATGAGAAGAGCAAGGGATGGCAATTTATGGCATCATAATGTTGCATATCGGAGACGTCGTAGCACTACCTGAAGAGGATACTGCCATACTTTGTTATTTTCGCGTGCCCGTAAAGCGAATGGGCCACTGAATTGGCGACGAAACCTCCTGCTACTGCAGCCTATCTACAGCCACCAAACTGTTTTAAGTTGAAGAACTTCACTGGCACTTGCTAATATTGTAACGATCATATGCCAAAAACAATGTCCGGTAATTAAATGTAATTTGTCACATTTTAGAAATAAATAATGCTATTTTTTAGGGCTATCGTATTGGAACAGGTGTTTAGTGACTACCTGATTGGATCTGGAGAATAAATCTCTCGTTATTGACATCTGCACAGATTATAATACTAATATTGTAACCCAGTCTAAATCTGTAATCACAAAAGATCGCTGTAGGTACATTTTAGAATAATAAAACTGACATGGTCATTAGACATTACCGCATTAGGTTTGAATGTGGATCACAACATTATTTGGTCGTTCATAATGTGGATGATTTCTTTACCTTTACCTCATTAAAATAAGCAAGTAAAACAAGAAGTTTTACCTATACCCTTTCCTGCCCACCATTGTTCATTCACTTCAAAAATTCATTCAGGGAGTAAATTTTTTCCTACACTCAATTTCCTTTAGTTGAGAGGATGTAGATTGAAATTCTTTAGTATGGGCCATTTTTTAAAATACATGTTAAATTAATATGAATATTAATTAGGTAAATTTCCGAATCTGTATTACCGACAACATTTCATGTAGGGCAATAATATTGCAGATGGCGCATAAGATGAATATAATACGTATAAATTTAGTGAATTATTTTATTTTTGATAATGGAATGATTATAATGATGATCGTGAATAAAATCGTATACGAACCTTGACGAAAGGTTATTTTTCTTAGAATATAATCATAAAATTCTTCGAAAAATAACCTACTTTCGCACTCGGTGCGTAATATACTATTACTATTGTTTACAAATGAGTAACAAATAAAATATTGTACATTATACGCCAGGTAATAGTTTTTACTGGCTCTAGGAGATGACAAGCTCGCCTAACGGCTCGCTAGTCAACTTCTCATATCGCCAGTAAAAACTCACTTACCTGGCTAATAATGTAAAATACTATTATTTGACTTACGACGTTTACTAGACTGTAAAAGTATAAAAAATAATTGAATTTTATCGTTACTCAGTTTGCTCTTTTAATTTTTAGGACTGCCAATAGTATTTGTGTAGGAGATTTGAGGTGCCGACATTGCGATGCTGCAAAATTAGCAAAACTGCTGGGTGAGAATATTCTTACATTTGTTTGATATTCATTAATTGAAATCAACAAATAATCGTAGCCAAAAGTAGTCGGATGACATATAACTTATGATCGGGCATGTTTAACTTCTTAGCATACAAACTGTATGGGTATGTAATGCACTGGAAGCTTTATGTGGTCGTTATAGTATTTTACTACCAAAGTACACAAAGACGACGCCAAATCGCATCAACAACTGCAATAACTAAAAGCGAAACGAACTGAATAAATTGACAAGACATCATCTATCGTTGAAAATTGGAAAAACTGTATTAGTTACTATAAAATGGTTAGCTAAAGGAGAAAATAGGGTTTGCAATTTATGTTGCACTTTGGCACATTCAATATCTCATGAATGCAGCCGTATTGGATTTTGCCTTTTATAACAGCGAACCGTATATCCAAGTGTTCTGAAAACTCTTAAGGTTACTCCCGACTCGACTTTTGTATTCTAAATTTTTCGACATTATGTAACGCGCTCGGATTACTCCCTTTAGACGGTCTAACAGTAGTTGATGAAACATTCACATTTCTTTGTCATTTGTTCTATTGTCAAATCTATGCATACAGACTGTGCATTCCCATTGGAATAAAAAGTATGAAATTGAGACATTTTATGATCTGTTCTTCTACTATCAATATTTGTCTACTTGCACCCATCCATACTAAGCAGGTAATGCAACCACTGATTTTTAATTGTTGTAAATATTCACTGTAAAACCTTTGCAAATAGAAACAGTTAATGAGCTGAGCAAATCACGTTGTGGATACTTCTATTCAGTTTAGTACAATGATATGGGAGGTAGCACGTTTGAGTTTTCCGAGTACATCGATATGAACCTCATGTCGCAATATTTCCAAAAACAAGAGCTATATTGTATTATATTAAAACATGCAATTTACACATGCTAATATTAGTAATAATAAAAAACCATTTCAATAACTGTAAGCCCTTGACTCTCGTATTATAGTAGGTTTATTACATTTGTGATTAACGTGAGTGCAGCATGGTTTATTCTTTATATTTAACTGTACGTGTGGTTGTGACTGAACTCCTCCTTGTGTCTCAGGATGGTTTAGATTGACAACTGGGCCCGAACGGATTAAAGGTTTTTTTTTTAACTTCTTTTTTCGTTGATGTCGTACTCGTATTGGATGTAAGCAATAAAAATAGAGTCCTAAACTACGCGTTTTGTTAAAAAATATTTTCTATACCTTTTTAAAGTAGACTAAAATTTCTACAATTTGAGGTTAGAGACAGCTCTGTAGGTTTAATACTTATCGAGATACTACACTTCAAAGATTGACATTTTTTTGCAAAAAAAGTGAAACTTTGAGAATTTTAAATCTACGATGTCACAGTCGGCATTCTCGACTGTCTGCTTTGTTTCAATTCCCTGGCTTCGAAATGCGATCAATCCTCGTTTGTTGCTGTCGTTGGCCAATAATTTCTACTGGGTCATTGATATTTTATTTGACTCTTCACAGATTCAATTAACCTCATGGGCCCCAAGAACGCCACTGATGGATAACAGTTTGTTTGTCAATGGAAAGGGATAGTCGATATCAAAGTAGCACTTCAGTTTCTTCACATGTATTGTCCTCTTATTTCAAACAATATTTCAGCTAGGCCTGACGATGGTATATAAATACCCGAAATCGATCGCCATAGAAAACATAATAAACGTTTGTTCGAAAAATACTTCATACTATAATTATCTTCACATCACTTTCACCTCCAATCTGTGCTGCCGCCATATCAACATGCTGCTCATTGGTAGTACACGAAATATCTCAAAATGTTTCCAGTCTCTCGCAAATATTGTCCTCCCTCCCTGGCTTTTAATTGACCTCATTAACACTTGTTTTATTGTTAAGTCTTACCCTAATCCCGACCAAAATTTTCTTAGCGGCGAATCGTAAAGATTCCTTTTTTGAACATGCTCCATTCTTTAGGTTCCACCCTCTTTTGTAAGCCCTCCATGTCTCTTAGGTACAGCCTAACACCTGTTGAGTAAAAAAGTGACCTGCTGAATAGAAAAAGGGTAGCTTTTTTCAACTGGCGAAGTGGGGCTTCAGTCCTTTACGATTGGATGAATTGCTTTATTAGCGCACTCATCCGAAAATACTGCACCCAGAGCTTTGATGTTGGCCCATTTGATTCTATTTTATCCAGGGCAGTTTTAAATTTGGCACCATAAATTTGAAAAATGTCACGGTCTTTGATAAGTTGGATTGATGACCTGTCACTGGAAGGGAAAGAGAGTTCCCCTTAGTCCATATTGTGTCATCACATTCTTTTTAAAAATCGATGCCCTTAACCTATCCTTCTCACATTTTATAAAATACAAGTACATTTGGTCCCAGCAATATAATGATAAAATACACAGTTAGGCTTTTAGAGAACTAAACAGAGCATTTTTTGGATTTTTAACCCTAATTTACAGGTCTGGGGTGGATCGTACCCCACAGCCACTTTCAATGTCCATAAATTTTTTTTCTTTCAATATTTTGGCTTGGGAGCTCGAGTACCTTCCAAATTTAGTCTTTTCTATCGTTTTTGGCGTTTTTGGCGTTCTTAGGATTTGAGTTTTTATTTTATTACTACTTTTAGAAAAACATTCAAGGTTACAGGTCTGGGGTGGATCGCACCCCACAGCCACTTTCAATGTCCATTAGTTTTTTTTATTTCAATATTTTGGCCCGGGAGCTCGAGTACCTTTCAAGTTTAGTCTTTCCAATCTGGGGTTCGTTCCACCCCACGCCCGTAAACTTGAAAGTTTTAGTGGCCAGTAAACTAGGGTTAAGATATGTGAGTAAACTATATGACATACAGACGTCGTTCTGTGCTAAAAGTTAAAGCTACATTTGCTACATCTTTCCCTGTGGTGGAGCAGGAACTATTGAAAATTCATAATAACCCTCCACTTTTTGCCAAGTCTTTGAAATTTAGCCTTAGGTACGGTCTTAGGGTCGTTAATCCATTTAAAGAGACAGGGATGGAACTCATCACATTGGATACTGGTCGGTCGTGGATCCTGTTATTGCTAGGTGACTAAAGGAAGCCAAGGAGATGGACGAAACTATGTATACGGATTTTGAGAGGGACCGAATTCAACGTGCTACCCTCTATTTCAGAGAAAAACCTGAACGAAATGAAATTGACGAGTCCAAAATTCGAGATTAGAAAAGATGTCGCAGTTGCTGCTTAGATGCAGACAATATGCTGTGGTAATGACCGCTGGCATCGAGAAAATGTGCAGGCAAATCACGGTACTTGAAGACGATCAACTGTATCAGACCATCTGTGGCGTTTCTCTCCTCGGGAGCATATCAAGGAGTACAGCCTAACCACCGTCACTTATGGCACGACTTCCGCACCGTACCTAGCAGTATGGACCCTGCAACAATTAGCAAAAGTCGAAGCTGAGCAGTTCCCAGAAGCATCGGGAATCGTGAAACGGGATTTCTGTATTATGGAAGACTTAATAACGGGTTCCTACAACCAAGAAATGTCGAAAGTTGCAAGGAACTTATCTACACTCTGCCCGAGGATCTACAGGAAAAGGGGTGCATGGATCTTTGGCCAGAAGACATAAATAAACCTAAGCGTACAATGGACACCGATCCAAGATGTCTTTTGGTTCGAAATAGATCTACCCTCGGAGAACACACCTACCAAACGAAGCGTCCTATCCCAGATCGCAAGATTATACGACCCACTAGGCTGGCTAGCCCCCAGGGTAATACGGGCTAATCTGTTCATGTAGGAACTTTGGAAAGAATCCATTGAGTGGGATAGAATCTTCCAGCGCGGTTGATGGACTACCTTCCAAGAAGATATCGCGCAAGTAGGCAGATCGAAATCCCAAGATGGATCTACTATTAAATTCTACTATTAATATTAAAAACAACAAGAAAATGCTGAACAGCAAGGAAATGTGTAGATCAGGAAATAAACTGTAAATTATTGGCAAGGTATTCAGTATGTCCTGCATACTAACATAGTTAAGATTGTGGTAACGCGGCACCGCTTCGTTGAAAGCTCGAAGAACCAAATTGTAGCACTAGGGTTGTAACGCCTAATGTACCAGCGATCCGGCTCGAAGGACCAAATGTAGCGTTAGGGTCGTAAATCCTTACGTAAACCCAACCAAACTTAGACAAAGTAAATTCGGTCGGGGATTATCTTATAACACAAACCAGGTACGTAACTGACAGTTCGAATTGTTGACTGATAATATTTATTGTAAGATTTACATGCTTATTTATATATCACAGATTTGGTTCCTTAACTTATCTTAATTATGTTAGTATGCAGGAAATGCTGAATACAAAAACCTTGCCAACAATGCGCTTAATATTGCAGTTTACTTCCTGGTATACGCATTTCCTTGTTATTCTTAAAGTTATACTTCCTTACTTTTTCAGGGTGCTTTAAATCTGTTTTAAATTAGCATCTTGGCCCGCCAGCAGGAAAGGAGATCGTTGTCAATCTGTTCTAAGATGAACACTGTTCTTCTTTTGTAACTGGGCCGTAGCCGTCCCGCGAATCTTCTTATACACCATTTTTGAGTTATTAAGTCCATCAAGTTTTATGCACCATTCTTGTTTTATAGATAGCAGTTTCTTAATACGTATTGAAATTCATTTTGCTTTGGAGGAAGGATTAACCTGCTTCCAGTGGAATGAAATACGATTGAGTTCGATGAAAATCTAGTTCAGAAACCTTTGCATTAATCCATCCCATAGGAAGACATCTCTTTCTAATCCGTGCAGTTTGTGTAAGTAGATCACTTTCCCGTTCCATTATCAACTCGTCAATTATATAATATTCGTCATACGATATGCACACATGCTTTTAACGCAATAACTAAGATCGGCTGCTCCATCACATCTCATTACCGTATAAATTTAAATTTGTAATAGGAATCGATACACTTGTTGCCTTTTCATTGGGATCGCTCGGATATATTCAAATTAATCATTTCCGGCGAACTATCTATTATCATTTCCTTTAAGCACGCGTAAATTATGCGAAAGTTTCTCTGCCAAAGCAACACGCTCATTAGGGATTACAATAATTCCCTTTTAAGGCACCTGATTATTGAATAAGGGAAGATGTGATTTGTATTGTTGAACTAACACGTAACTAAAATAAATTGAGTCATAAATAAAATGGAAGCTCGATAAGGTGAAAAAGGCGTGTTGATTTTTGCGAATGAGCTTTTCGGGGTATGAAAAAGTTATAGCTTCAATTTCGCATTTGTCACTATGACAACTTAATTTATCACCTCTTGCTAAACTTCATGAATCATGAATTTTTAAAGAAATTGTTTGAAATGCTGACGAATTTAATGCTAATGAGAAATGGAAGCCGGACAAAGACGGTAATAAATTGTATCCAGAATAAATCACACCGTAACTTTTTACGGTAAAATTTTTATGTTCGCTTTTATCCATCCATGCAGCTGCTCCTGGAAAATATAAATGCATCCACGGAATAGTTCCGTAGGGATTTAGATTGACGCATTCTACGTTCAGATAAAGTACCGCGTATTTCTTTTAACAGTGAATCGTTTCATTCAAATCTTAGCCCAATTTATAATTTCCCATTGGCATAGTCGCCAAATTACTGTGACCATACGAAAGCAACCCTTATGTTTTTCTTCATCCAACCAGTCAAATTAAAAAGGATATAGCCTCTTTGCCGCATAATCAATTACTCCAACGTTAATTAAAATAGTATTAGGAAACCTCTTTTTCTAGTATTTGTCAACCACTATCATTATTCTTCCAGTTACTTATGGCAATTTTTCAAGTCAAGTAAGCGTTATCGACAAGGCGTATTGTAGAAGACACATCCACCACCTACCCCTGTTGTGAGTTTAGCGAGTGCATGCACCGACAATAAATTAAGCGTTCACATTTTAGTACCTACCTAATCTGGGGCCTTGGAGAGATAAGTAGTTTAATGTAGGTTTTGCAAGAGGTAATTAAGATTTATTGAGCTTTAAGTATAAATTTATGTAACGGTCGGATTTTCGTATCACAGATATTAAGTTCGCTCATAAATGTGTAGGGGATAAAGTGACGACACATTGCTGAATCTCGGTGGTACGTATATGGTGCGCGTTTGAAACTGCATTTTTCGGATTTTATACAATTTTATAAGAGTTTAGCACCGAATATTGGGCGACGTTTTCAGGGTGCAGTTGTAAGAAATGGCTGATAACCACCCCCAGAATGTTAATACTGTGGATTGTACCTGTTGATAAATTTTGGCGAAAATGTTGATTGCTAATAGCAGGGCCATTTTTTTGACTCTACTAAGCTCCATGGTTGTGAAAGTGTTTCGAGCATATTTCAATTTCACTACTTAATTGTCTGTTATGCGTTGATGTCAATTTTGCTAAAATGTAGAAACTAAGTTGTAGCTCGAAGACATATTTCCTTGTTAATTGAATGGGACTCACATTTATCAAATGAGATATTATCGGGTTATTTACTTAGCATTGTAAATAGCTACACCACCCTTTCGAAAAATCTTCAGCATTTAGTAACTAATATGTTCTGGTTATGGATATGTTACGTCCAAAAACGCTTCCCTAACTTTATTTTTTCCGATATTCCAAGTTCAGGTCTTAATAACAGCCACGCAACGTATCTATAGAATTTTGAGAAGGGTAGAGTTTTGCCGACGATAGTGGGGGAATAAGGAGTCTTTATCACGGCTTCCAATGGTTGTTGCTGTAAATACGTATATTAGGTACAACATAATTATTACATTTTGTGGTTTAGAGGATAATTTAAAAAAAAACGAACAAAAATATTAAAGAACAATAACATAATTAATCCTAGTAGTACGCAAAAAAATGTTCACAATCGTTGTAAAGGATTGGTCTTATTGATCAATAGCTGTCAGTATTGCAGTAGTTACCTTCGCACTGCGAGCAGTGTAAGGTGTTGACGCCTTTCATTTTCCTTAAGGAATCGCAATTAGACGACGAACAGGATCTATACACACCAAAAATCTCCTTCTTGTACTCCATACGAGCTAAAATAGGTAGATGATTTTCGCGTATTAGATAACATATTACTTACTTGAAACACGAAATATGCAATACCCAGGTGGCGAACAACTGGAAGTTTCGGTAATATTAATAAACTTACGACAGTTATCAATGTGTTGAGGGAACATATCGGACGAACCATGGCATTGGAAGCAGGTGTTTTTGGTAAAACCTACGATTTGATACGTTTAAGGAAATCAAATTAAAAATAATATACAGTCAGCGCGTTATAGCATGGCAAATGACGGCGCAGACCGAACGTGACATCGGCAACTATCGGGAAGAACTTGTCGATTGAAATTCCTAGTGCAGTGGCGTAATTCAAATTTATTTCTAATGAATGGGTGCGTGTTTACAACAACACAAAACAAAAATGATGAAAACTACCTTAAAAAGCACAACATATTATATTTCAACAGTTCAACTGAATTATTAATTTAAAATTGGTGATTGATGACGTTCGTATGTTTCCGTAGAAGTCAAAAATGAAAAGTAAGTGGTTAAAAGTACAGTCATCTACAGTGCTATTTATTAAGACGTAGACATAGGGTGTATTGTTTTTTCCTATGTCCTTAGAAGAGCGCCTAATGCATCCAAAATAATTTTTTTCACTACTAGCGTCTGATGACATGATTATTAACCTTTTTTCCACTTGTAAAGTAGACTTTCTCGGCATTTGTTCAAAGTGGTTAATAATTTTTTATTATTAACTAGTAGTCAATAATGAGAACTGTCACGCTATCACTTTTAGAAAACACAACCCGAAATTTCGCTCAATGAACGTTTAGACAAGTTCTCTAAAACGAATAATTGCCACCATTCGCAATTTCCAGAGAAATTACATACCTAAAATTATCACATTTTGAAAAAATTCGAACGAAATTACTCTTTGAAAAATCTCAATGACAGAACAAAATACGGCCTGTTTGACTTGTACTTCCACGTACTTGATTGACATGTTAAATTAAGAAACAAAAAATTCTGTCCAACCGTTCACTTTCTTATCAATATAATATGTTAATTTAGAGGATTTCAAGTGCTAGTAGTGAAAAAAATAGTATATATACCACGGTAGAGAAGTCTATTATTGCCTTCGCACCTTACACCCCTCGGCGCAAGCGCCTCGAGATGTAATCTTGGTGCTCAGGCAATAATAGTGGACTTCTCTACCTTGATATATAATGTACTATTTTTTAAACAAATAAGTCTGTGGCTGTCAGATGAATTAGTTTGAATATTTTTGCTTTGATTTAACAGAAAGTAAATCTCTCGCGCTCCTTAAACTGTTACCGACACTATACCAATTGACAATATCAACTTCTTCTTCAGTTGAATACATCGCGCACGAACGAGTATAAAAATACAGAAGCCAAAGCAAATGCTATTCAAATTAATTAATGTGACAGCCAGATTTAATTTGTTTTTTCGTCGACCTCTCGATAACAACATAAATTACACCTTAGTTACAGGTGTAACAATGAAGCTCATTAATGGTTAGAAACCATTATACGTTAACAACCATGAATCGTTAGCAACCACTTATATATACCATTATGCATTAGCAACCATTAATCGTTAGCAACAACTTATACATAACAACCATTTTATTAAAGGGAATGACATTTATATAACAATTCACTTTCGGCATCAGCTGAGAACTTCCATCCACCTAACCATTTTAATCTCGTTTTTAATGTAGTGAGATCAGTAGCCAGTATGGTCGCCAACGATCTCAGCAAATCATATCCTGGTGTGTAGCTTCTCGGATAAGGTATTGCTAAGGTATTCAGTTTATTTACCTTCAACATTGAGTACGTCGACCACAGGGATGAACATTTCTATATCTTTCACTGTTAATACACGTACTTTAGTGCAGTGCAGTGCAGTGCAGCAAAAGAATTAATTACATTCTAATTTCACATACCTTTTCAAGGTAAAATGTCAACATGACATTTTCGAAAATATCTCCTTTCAAATTCATTGTATTCCATCAATTGCCGAACTGATCGAAACCGTTCCAATAAGTTTCTTTTGATTTGAGCGGATATACTGTTAAAATCGCCTCCGCGGCAGAGCAAGCAACACTTTCACTGAGATTACGAGGACGGACGGTACAGCATACAATAACACATTACTATAGCAACGACAATAGCTGTAATTTTAGTGAAAAATCGTCGGAGCTTATAATTTCGTTTGTAATTTCTTGTAGTTGAATTTAAAATTACCTACCCCAGTGAAGTCGACGAAAAAACGTTGTATGCAATTCATGTATAAATCGGCGATTATTGGTTCGTTCGAATTTACATCTCACTCACCAATAAAATGCCTCATTTATACACTCATTGCATAAATAACTATCAAGTAGTCATTTGGTTGCATAAAATTAGGCGCCTTTCAGAAGAGATTTCCTCTTCAGTAGACATAGGGAAATACAATATACATAACTCTCAATGTCTACTTCTTAATAAATATCGCTGTATATTTAGACACTGTGCATGGATAAAATCATAAACGTATCGTTACATACCTGAGGTAACACCTACACACAGGAGACCAACAGAAGCCAAAACAAGTTTAAAATGCATATCTTTAAAATGATGATAATACTCGTCTATGAGGCATACTACACGCGCTTTTATGCCTACGCGTCAAGAGGTTTAACAGATTAGATACATTTCAAAATAGATATTTATTATATGCTTATCTTATCATTATTGAAAAGACATACTGATTACTATTTCCGTTGGTAAGTAAATAAATTCACAGATTTCGCAATTCATGCAACCATCGTAGGAGACATTGGAAATGACAACCGTATAACGCCATATGTAAAACACAAATAACTCATTCAATCGGAAAAATAGACCTAGTTTTCATAAACGCGATTATTGCAATTTTTATCATAATTTATTTCGCGCGAACGTTCGTTTTGTAGTTGAAAATATGCGAATATTCGCATTTCGTACCAAACCTGCGAAATTCGCGACAATGAAAATTAGGCTATAAGCGTGGTAATATGCTCGTAATACTATCAAAGAAGGTGTACGAAAGTTGTAGATGAAATTAACAAAACGATTGAGCACTATTTAGTAAGTACCGTATCAGTATCCGCGACTTTTCTTTCACCTACCGATCACGGTCGAGTATAGTACAATCCTCGCTTGATGCGACACTGTTGTCTTTTCGCAGCTTGCACTAAACATCATAACTTTGTGCCCATATACGAAACACTTGTGAAAGCACAAACATTTCCAATGTTAAAATGTTCAAAACCTACCTCTGGGCTTTGCCTCGATATATACAATACAATCACATCAAAACGAATCGCAGGTTGTAATTGGAAATATTGATAAAAAATTATATTTTTTTTATAGAGTTACACGTCATTTTAAAGGCCGTAAAATCTTCTTTAGACAATACCCATAAAGACAAATTTGTATGGTCTGGTTATGTGATTTTTAAAAACCAATTCAAATACAAAATAAATTAATTTTACGCATTTCACGTTTTATATAACATTTATTTTATTACCGATCCTCGAGATGTTCTTAGGGGTATAAGAAAGGTCGCTATTGTTTTTCAGTTACGTAGACTAACGGGCCCAAAAACTACCTGAACCTCTAAAAAAGGGCGTCTTTTATAATTCCGGTTACAAAGAACATATGAATGCCCTGTTTTCTGTGTCAGTAAATATTACTTAAGCATCAACCAACTATGCAGATGAAAAATATTGCGCATGCGCATTCCATCTTTTGTAATTGCGCAATCCCATTTTTTTTTAGTTAAGAAATTTAAATGAAATTTTATTTATAGGCACCTCGAGTAAAAGTAAAAATTATACCGAATCAAAAAATTAAACTGATTTTGTTTGTTAAGATATTTAAATGAAATTTTGTATGTAGGCACCTCGAATAAAAGGAAAACATACCGAATCAAAAAGTTCGTTTTGCGCATGCACAATCCAATTTTTTTATTTGTTAGGTTATTTAAATGAAATGTATATAGGCACCTGGAATAAAAGTAAAACTAATGCCTAAGCAAAAAATGTGTTTTAAAAGCTATGCTGATCTGGTGGGTCAGACTCAACCCCTTAAAGTTTGTTGCAAAAATGATGGATGTGTGAAGATCTCGAGGATCGTTCGGTATTCATTTGTATCGGATTTTTAAATAATACAGTCTGTTGAACACGAACACTAGCAAAGGTACCTCCTGTTGTCTGCATTTATATGTAGGTATTCTGTGTCTTGGCTTTGAAATATTGTCAGGTGAAGTTCTATACACTTATACACTACCGTTTTTAAATGTCCCCAAAGAAAAAAATCAAGCGGTGTCAATTCGACCTGCGTAGCTCAGATGAGCTTACGTTAGTAACTCTAACTTAGGCTACAAGGGTCCTGGGTTCGAATCCCAGGGAAGGCATGGCTGTTTGTGATTGTATAGTGGGTTGAGTGGGAAGAGTAGCAAATTGCTAACACTTCTCCCACTATAAAATAAAGGCAATAAAATAAAAAATAAATAAAATAAATTCGAGAGACCGTGGTTTGTTTGTTGCCTGAAAAACAGAAAAATATAAAGTGCAAACGTTCGGGTAAAACAGTGGGTAATAAATCGACAAGTGTATTCGCATATGCACTTAATAAACGAATGACAACTGGAACCTGATGATTATCGAAATTATCTGCGTATGGGCCAAAATACCTATACGGAATTGCTGCTACAAAATACTATAATGAGTTCAGCAATCACTCCTCATGAGCGGGTATTTAGAAACAGCAAGAGACAATGAAGATTTAAAATTTTCAACACATTATCTCCGCTCAAGCTTTGGGGAGGATAATTTCTAAAACCTGTAAAGCAATAACTAATGTTCCTCAAGAAAAATATTGCAAGGTAAGTATAATTTAATTTTTATTTTAATATACAAAAAAAGTACAGAAATATTTAGGGCACAAAATTACTATATGAACCTGTTGAGGACTGCTGCCAAATATGTAATTGATTGGTTGTATTCAATTGAAGTATTGTTGCTATGTTGAAGGTAAGAGGGTTGCTGCCAAATAGGATATTGGTTGTTGTACTCTGCTACAGTAGTACTGCTTTTCCGAAGTAGTAATAGATGGGGTTCTCTCGTAATAGATTCCTGCTCTTTTTTTGATTATGATAACTTTCCTCTTGCGGCATATTTTCTTCGTTAACTGAGGAGTCTTCTAAAATATTATGTGCTGAGGTTTGTTTTTCTTCATAAAACAAATGTATAATAAGAACTTTTAACATTGGAAATATATACTGACGTCTTTACAAAACGGTCATGGAAGTAGATGTTTTCCCGAAGAAGTAAATCAAGTACGCAATTTTTTTCTTCGATATTTTAAAAATAACAAACATAAATAATTTTCTTTGGTAAATAAATGAAAAATCCTCAAAAAAAGAGGTATATTTTTCATACATTAGGTGATTGGCGGAGAGTTAGCCAAACTTGCCCATTTCCAAGATATTTATTAATAGACCTGTTCTCTAAACGTCCCCGATTTTTTGTATCATTGCTCTTGTAAGGGAATAAGAGAAGCAATCACCGGGAAGAAATCAAGTGCCGAAAAAGTTGTGATTCAAATATTAACGAACATTTTATAAAAATTTCAACCGCGAGAAACATATTACGCCTGAATTTATTAATTCTGATAAACATGCTGGAACTTTATCAGGAGAAAGCAGCAGTCCTAGTTCAATTTACTATTTTTACGAACCTCTGAGCAGTCACCTGTAGTATTGTGTATTCCCAACATTTTGACCAAATCCATTACAAAAATATAATACCACAATACCACCTTGCTGACCGTCAACGGTGTTATACTCTGATGTTTGAGGGGGTGTTTGTTAATCTGAAATAAGAATACCGTTAACGACTAAGCTCTATATTTCAGAATATTATTCGATGACATCGTGTTAATCGCTGTCTTAAAAGTAAGGTTAATTGTTACGTTCGCGCTCTGCTCAGGTTCTCTGGAAGGCCGTCAGATAGATGGAGGTCGAGATGTTGCCAGGCCTCGAGCGCTGTTGCCAGCTTGCTACTATACTACATCCCTCCTCTTCTTTAATATATAACAAAGTCTGCCAGGTGAAGGGGTTTCCGTTTGTGACGCGTAGGTCTTCTCTGCAGCTGTTGTTCCGGGATAACCGTTGTCTCAGAATTTGTTATAAGTATAGGCGGACTATTTACTTCTGAACTCAAGGGTGGATTCTCAAAGGTAGGTTTTGGTTCTACTGATGGTAGTGGTTTAGGAGTTACATTTGTAGGGATGCTTGAGGTTGTAAGGAGTTTAAAATATGAAGCGTTTCGAGTAATTGTTTCCTGGCCTCGGGTTGCTGTGATTTTTGTTCCTTCAACCTTGCCGACTTTATAGGGTCTGGTGTCATATCTTGGTGTTAAAGTATTTTTCTTTTTTTGTTCGCACAGCACTATATCTCCTACTTTTAAGTTGTTTTTTCTAACATTTCTTCTTTCGTCTGCATATGCTTTTGCCTTTTCTCTGTTTTTTCTTTCAACGTTATCTCTTTGTTCCTCTTGTTTTTCTTTAATTTGTGGCAATAAATCATTGACTTTGTAGTTGAAAATTAATTCGAAGGGTGATTTGGATGTCGAGGAATGCGGTGTTGATCTGTAATTTAAGAGGAATTCTTGAAGTTGGGAATCGAATTTTTCAGTTTCAATGTTTGCGCAGATTAGAGATCTTTTTAATGTTTTTACTAGCCCTTCGACCATGCCATTAGCTTCAGGCCATAATGGTGTTATTCGGTGATGTTTTATTCCATAGTCTTTCAAATATTTTGCTAGTTCGAATCCATTGAATGGTGGTCCATTGTCGGATGTCAATTTTTGTGGAAAGCCAAACGTTGCGAATATTTTATCTAGAATCGGTTTTAATTCGAATTTTGTTGAGTTAACGATTTCTATTATTGGGAATCTTGTGTGTTCGTCCACTAAAAGGAACATGTACGAGTTGTTCGGGAATGGCCCTGCGTAGTCAACGTCTAGGTGAGCAAAGGGTATTTCTGGGATGTCTTTGACAAGCAGGGGGTCTCTTGCCTGACAACTTATACAACTTTTCACCTGTTGTTCTACGAGTTTGTCTATGCCAGGAAACCATACTTTTGATCTGATTAGCTGTTTCGTCTTTATAATTCCTTGATGGCCCTTGTGTGCTAGTTTGACAGCGAGGTTCTGTAAACATGTTGGGATTACAATTCGGTGTCCCCTTAGAATTATGTCGTCGTACTCTGTTAATTCACTTTGAATGTCTTTGAAGCGTCGTAATTCCGGACTGTTCCATAGACTTTCTGTGTTTGATTTAATCGCTCTTTTGAATAACTGAGTTGTAGGGTCTTCTTTGGTAGCGTCTTTGATTTGTTCAAATGTCAACTTCTTTGGTACGCTCTCAGTAATGATGTTTGATATATATTCTTCGGTCTTATTTCTTTTGTCATCTTCTGTTTGTTTTGCGTGTCGGCTCAAGTAGTCGGATGGGTTGGTTTTTCCTTGTTGGTGACATATGATGAAATTGAATTTCTGGACTTTGAGACATATTCTTTCGATTCTTGCGCTTGGTGATGTTCTGGAGTTTGTTAAAATATGAACCAATGGTTTATGGTCGGTGTGTACCGTAAACTGGATTCCTAAAAGATACAGTTTGAAGCGTTCTAAAACCCAAGTAATAGCCAACATTTCCCTCTCAATTTGGCTGTAATTTTGTTGTGTAGCCGTTAGACATTTGCTTGCGTATGCCAGGATTTTTTTTTCGTCTGCGTGACCTTGGGACAGAATTGCTCCTAAGCCTGTTGGGCCTGCGTCTACATGGACATGTATTTGTTTATTGGGGTCAAAATAAGACAGAGTCCGCGTGTTTGTTAGTAGCTTCTTCATATTTTCGAATTCTTCTTGGTGGTTGTTGGTCCAGTTAAATGCATTATTCTTCTGTGTTAAACTACGAATGTATTTCCTATTTTCGGAAAGATTAGGTAAAAATTTTCCAATGAAGTTCACCATTCCTAGGAAACTTCTCGCTTCGGTGATATTCTTCGGGTGGTCAAGATCTTGGATAGCCCTCACTTTGCTTGCATCTGGAGAGACTCCTTGTTTGGAAAAGATGTATCCAAAAAACTTGATTTCCTCTGTGTTGAAAATACATTTTTCTTTGTTTACTGTTAAGTTGTTCCCATCTAATGTTCGTAATACGTCATGTAGTGCTTGATCATGCTCGTTTTCTGTTTTGCCGAAAATAAGAATGTCATCACTTATGTTTATTGCGTTCGGGATATGCTTTAAAATCTGTCTGATCTCGTTTTGAAAAACTTCTGCCGCCATGTTGATTCCAAAATTTAATCTTTTATATCTGAATAGACCTATGTGGGTTGAAAATGTTGTGATATAGCGTGATTCTTCTCTGATTGTTAGTTGATGGTAGCCTTCTTTCAAGTCTATTTTGGAAAACTTTGTTGCACCATTTAGTTTTATTAAAATATCGTCAAAAGTTGGTGTTAGGTGCCGCTCTCTTACTATAGCTTTATTAGCTGCACGCATGTCAACGCATAGTCTTATTTTCTCAGAATTGTTCTTAGGTACTATCACTATTGGAGATATCCAGGGTGTTGGTCCGCTTGCTGGTTCTATGATGTCTAGATCCTGAAGTCGTTGGAGTTCTGATTCTACTTTTGCTTGTAGATGAAACGGTACGCGTCTGTGTGTTTGTGAGATTGGCTGTACGTTTTTGTTTATGTGTAGTTTGACTTCGGTGTCCTTTAAATTTCCAAAATATTTGGGTATTTTTGCATGAGATCTTCTGTTATATTGACGGTTTTGTTACTGTATGTTAATTTCAACAGACCTAATTGCTTTGCTGTTGGGTAAGATAACAGGGGTTCTGCATTACCATCAATTATAATTAAGTGGTCTTTGACTGTGTTTGATTTATAATTTAATAGGACGGTGATTTTTCTGTTGGTTGTTGTTAAAATTATTTGTGCTTTGATTTCGTTGTCTTTGTTTTGAAAGCTGCATGTTGATGCTAGCTGAAGTAGTCTGGTATAAAATTGGTCGACTGTTTCGTGTTGTTCTTGCTTCGCTTCACGGAATTTGAAAATTTCAAAATCAGCGTTGATTTTAGGTTCGAAGTAGGTCTTGAATTTTGCTACTGCTGTTTCGTATGGTGTTAAAGGAGGATTCTGGGATGGAGGATCAGGAAGAGTTTGAAATAAATCGTAAGCGTCCTCACCTATGAAGTGTAGTAGAAGTGCCTTCTGTCGATCTACTGTTGTTACGTTTGCCGCAATGATGTAGTTCTCAAAACGGTTAAGCCATCGTTTCCATCTTTCTCCTATGCCTTTTGGATCGGATTTGATGTCGAGAGGCGCAATTCCTGGTATCGAGTTTAATATCATTGTTGATGGGGCTTGTGGGGTGATCTTCTCGTCGCCAGTGTTATACTCTGATGTTTGAGGGGGTGTTTGTTAATCTGAAATAAGAATACCGTTAACGACTAAGCTCTATATTTCAGAATATTATTCGATGACATCGTGTTAATCGCTGTCTTAAAAGTAAGGTTAACTGTTACGTTCGCGCTCTGCTCAGGTTCTCTCGAAGGCCGTCAGATAGATGGAGGTCGAGATGTTGCCAGGCCTCGAGCGCTGTTGCCAGCTTGCTACTATACTACAAACGGCACCAAGGAAACCAGGTCTATAATAAACAACGAGGTGCAGTGGTCCGTCGTTGACAGTGATCGTCAACAATCCACCGTTTTGGTATTATTTTAAAATGATCTAAAGCCAACGGAAGTGCTCTTTCACCTAGTCTTGCAAAGTAAAGGATCGATCACCTGGTTTCTTCTGATCTACTTGACATGTGGCAACTGTACCTTTTAAGAATCGTAAAACGACATAATATGGTGACAGTGATGCCACATTATTAACTAGCTCTTAGCGAGTTTATAATTTTGCGCTGTCTGTCCGTCCGTTCGTCCGTCCGTCCGTTAGCACGATATCTCGTAAACGAATGGACCGATTGCGATGAAATTTTGCAGGTGGATTCTTTATCAAATTTGTAGATCTTGAATTGGCAATGTAGGCCAAAAAATAAAGAAAGCCCTTTTGACATCTCCGTTAGTTATGAACCGAAGTGCTTCAAATTCAATATGCGCATAGCTTTAGCCATATAAGACGCAATTCCAAAACTTGAGCCTAATCGATCAGCATTCACAGTGCTCTCTTCGCATCTCGGCCATTTATAAACCGAATTGCAAACTTTCTTATTTATGAAATTTGATACATAGGCACTTGGGATAAAAGCAATTTTAACGCCAGTTTCAAAATTTGATTTTGCGATTTAATTCTAACACACTCAAGGAAAATGGTACAAAAACACAAACAATTATTACAAAAAGACTAAAATTAAAACTTAACTACTTACATTTCTTGTCCGTGAATTGTATTCCAAATCAAAGGTATCCTTTCACAGTTCACAAAAAATTACAATTTTCAATTAACACACTTTACACTAACGACCGGCTAATCGCAGCATTTATAGGGCCGCCGATAAACACCTCTCCTTGCAGGACCTTTTATAGGCAAGACTTCAAAACGTAGAACAAAAATTAGCCGCGAATTCGGCTTCCGGCATCACAAACTAACTTTTTCTATCTTCAATCTCACATTAGACGAAACATTCAATGTTGGCTGTGGCTTCAAATGAGTACTAACTGGCCGTAAATCAACGATGGAATTCGCAAGAAGCGAAATAAATTCTTCAACGAAACGTAACTCGGTGCTGAACGTAGCAAAAAACTGCTTTCAAATTTCCCACGAGACGTAACTCTGCTCTGATTGTGGCTAAAAACCGATCGTAAATTTCAATGAAACGTAGTTCTTCGTTGACTGTGACAAAAGGCTGATTTAAAACTTCAACGGAACGTAGTTCCCCCCTGAACGTGGCTAAAAGCGATGCTTTTCTTCTTGACGTCCTATTTACGGCGAAACCCTTTTTCCGAAAATCAAAATTATAAGAACTAATCACACACAGTTGATAACAAAGACTATCCCCTCAACGTACGTTATTATACCAAAAAATAGAGGTAGAAAATAATTTTTTAAATCAATTCCTTATCAGACATTAAGAGATAAATCCAAAGTAAATTCTAGGAAAAAAAATAAAATTTCATCTCTCTTAACTACACAGAAAAGGCGATAAATCACACCACCCCACCTGTCAATTAAATTAAGTATTTACATTTGATAACAGATATAAACCAAACAAAATTCCCGTGTAAACAAAAACAACCTTGAACGCTTTCTCGTATGACCCAATAATTTCCTTACCGTTACATAGACGAACGACAAATTAATAAAATTTAATTACAAATGTTAATTACCTACATAAAAAGGAGATCGCCCTTGTCCGAAAATTTCATCCTACCAGACGAAATAAACACAGCAGTATTTTTTGCCAAGGATCAAGGGGCTCTTTGATATGTACTTGAAGTTAGCGTTCAACGTACGTTATTGCACTTATTTCATGCTAGAAACAGATTGGCGTAGTACGTTAAACGCTAAATTCAAAGGCCACGTGGATCGTTCGCGAAAAAATATATTACCGTTTCCCTATGGTGCGTTCTATCTGGGACACACTGTATAAAAGAGCAGTGTTGAATTTCATGCTTCAATTTTTGGGGTATCTAGTCTTGTAATTTTGGCAAGTATTCATTTCACCTTATAAATAGCAACATGTCAGCATTTTTCAATCTTAAATATCCGAGATATAAAAATTTGCGCAGATTGGGATCTTTCGTTTTATAATTACGTACTCCTAATGTAAGTGTAGATTCCGATTTGGATATACATATAGGGAATCTTGAACTTGAAGACATGTTTTTGATGATTGAATATTGTAAATACGAAGAAGAAATCATTTATTTAAAATACAAATAAAGTTGCTGCCCTCGTAGGTTGCTTCTTGTGACAGGTATACTGATCTGTCTATCGATAATCTTATTTCTAACAGAATTATTACATTTTGTAGTTTAGAGGATAATGTCATTGAAATGAACGAACATATTAAAGAACAATAGCATAATTAGTGATAGTAGTGCGCAGAGAAATGTTTGCAATCCTTATAGAGGCGTGGTCTTATTGATCAATAGGTGTCAGTATTGCAATAGTTGCCTTCGCACTGCGAACAGTGTAAGAATTTTTCTTTTCCTTTCTTGAAGAAATCACAATCATGTGAATCACAGACTCTCGCCACTTTAGTAATCTGCTGCTGGTGTTGCTGATAAGCTAAAAAGATCACATTGACATTCGTGTATTGGATAAAACATTACTTACTTGAAACATAAAATAGGCAATAGCCAGGTGGCGAACAAACGGAAGTTTCGGTAATATTAATAAACTTACGACAGTTGTCAATGTGTTGAGGGTACATATCGGTCGTACCAAAGCATTGGAAGCAAGTGTTTTTGGTAAAACCTACGATTTGATACGTTTAAGGAAGTCAAATTTACAATAAACTATACATTCCGCGCGTTATAGCATGGCGCAGATCGGGAACTGTCGGGAAAACTTGTCGACCTTCAGTGGCGTACCTAACTTAAGTCGTGTTTACAAACACTACGGTAAGTTTAAAACCAAAAATTCGGCGGCGATGACGTACAGTTTTAAATCCGTACGCCAGTTGAGCGTATCATCAAAGACTAAGGAGGATAGTCTTTGTTATCATCCTAGATTAGTATCTTGCTCGTTATCATGACCACGGCACTGGAATCATTCAAGTAAACCCCGCGAGCTCGTTAAATGCGTATTTAAAGCTCTCGCCATGCTATAACGCGCGGACTGTATACGGGTATTAGCCGTGTTTCCAACAGAGTATTTCCATACCAACAAATAAAGAGCGATTCAAACAATTCGGCGTCATAGTAGAGGGTGAGAAGGTGTATGTCTTGAACACTGGTCAGACGAATCTGTCAATTTATTTTTTATTTCAAGTTGTGAATTAAATTAAAATAGTATATTGAAAGACAAGTGTTACAATGCGACCTATTGTAATACGACCATCTTGTGGTACGAGTGGCGACGCGAAGCGTAGCCACGAGTGTCCGCAAGATAGGAGTATTACAATAAAGCATTGTAACACGCGTTTTTCATACTATTTTTTCTATTTCGGTGCTTAAATTTAATTAAAAAAATCATTATCAGAAACTATAGGGAACATTAGAACTAACATGTTTTATGTTGGGAAAGCTTTTTATGCCGTTAAGTTTTAGGTTGGAAGCGTAGTAAGACTGGCATTTTGAAGTTCAAACATGGAAGTACCCAACGAAGTACCTACTTGTACTAACTAGTAACTGCCAATTTAAAAGATGAGTTACCAAAAAAAACGACTATAATCACTGTCTTTGTACAACTGTTTTCGGCCGAAAACAGTTGTACAAAAACATCATTGTGACACCGAAATAGAAAAACACAATTAAACATCCATTGTCACGAATGATGCTGAATTTTTTGAATCGGTCGATACTTCCGCAAAAATGTGGATGTGGATGACAAATCACTTTTTGTGCGTAGTGAAATGGATAGTTATCGATGTCTTTTTAGATGTTGTCAGGTTTTTGACAAAATCTAGATTTATTTAACAATTTCATTGGAGAACCAACAATATCGTTAGATTTATTCGTAACTTTGCTTAAGCACAACAAAAGATTAACAAGATAAAAAAAGTAAAACTCTAATTAGTAGAAAAAAAGCAAAGCGTAAACCAAAAAAGGTATTAGGAACAGTAGAGAACTAATAATATCTACTAAATTTAAATAAACCTATTATTTATTAAGTACAGGAAAATCAAAAACAAAAGATTAAATCCATGTGAAAAAAATGAAAAAAAGAAATCCTAATTACTGTTAAATAAATATTTGTTAAATACTTCTAACAAATATTCTTCAATATTATAAAACACTCGGTCTTTTAGCCAAGAGTTTAATGCGTTTTTACAACAACAAGTTTCAAAGGCCGAATAATACACCTGCATAACTACACCCATACCTGCGATGTCTAATTTTATTATTATTATTAATATCTTTGTCAGACCGACCATAATATTATAATCATTTTTCAAAACAATGAAAGGGATATTAACATTAATTTCAAGAATTATAGCTATAAGACAATACCTAAGAACAAACGGGTTTAAGAGCATTTCCCCCAAAATATAAAAAAATTGCATAAATTATAATTAATATCATAGGTCTCTACATGTTAGTAAACTTGTCCGCCGGTATCTCCAAGAATAAATCTATCTATCTAATTCCCATACTTGTTGTTTTTAATGCCCAAACGTAATACTTTAACATGTCTTAACTTTCAATTTTGACTATCTAAAAAAATCACCACGTATAACTTAAAATTGATGATGATTGATGACGTTCATGTGTTTCCGGAGAAGTATAAAATTAAAAGTAATGAGTATTTTAGAGTTCGTGAGTGATAAACTGGCAACCAATGAAGGCTTTAGAGAACATTCGTGCATTAATAATAGACGTGTCGTTACGTACCTGAGGCAAAACCTATACACAGGAAGACAACAGAAGCCAGAACTAGTTTAAAGTACATATCTTCAAAATGATGGTAATACTCGCCTTTGAGGCAACGTGCATTCGTATTTATATCTACGTGTGTCAACAGCTTTAACAGATCTCAAACACATCTCAAAATATACTAATGATTATCTGGTTATCTTATCATTATTGCAAAGATCCAACTAAGTCTCTGCAAAGATATTATTTCCAGTCGTAAGTAAACAATTAAAAAGGTTTTCGCACTAAGGCGAGTAACTTCAGCTCGTTTTCCATGATTGATCAGTACTTCCCAAGAGGCCATAGCTTTCGAAAATCTAATTTTCAAATCTAGTTCCTAGTATCGTAGATTTAAATATGTACATCTGTGCTAGTATACATCGACGACGTACACTTCTCGACCAGAAGAGGAAGGTATAAGGCTCAAACAAGTAGCCATGAGTAAATATGGACTGACACGTTAAATGTTATCTTTACGCATCGAAGCGGCGATCGAAAGGAGGTCGATGCAAGAACGTGATGGTCGAAGGGATGAGGAGTCATCGTTTTATGGTCTACACTTAGCAAAAGAAGATGGAGAGTTGAAGATAGGATTATTGTACCTGCTCTAATTTAAAAAAAAAGATCTTTTAGGAGCAGCTTTAACGTTCAGGTATATGGAGCCTCAGTCGAAGCTATACATTTACAGATTATTGGCGAAAGAAGGAAGCGTGGACGTCCAAATAAGGCGTTGCTCATTCAGTAACGGTGTACAGGGTTATCTCCAAGGTTCACTATTCTTGAATGTTATTTATTTAAATATTTATTATGTTTCTTCTTTAAAGGCAGTGTTTTGAACTTCTTCCTATACCTCCCCGAATGTAGAATTCGTTTAATAAACGATGTCGCGGACATTTTTTTATGATGCCTACCTATATTCGATGTATTGCACATTGTAATCGATTTACTGGACATTTCAATCGTTTGTACACACATGTTTTAAAGCCGGACTCCCACTACTCGTGTATTTAGCAAATATTTGTCACTTGCCTATATTTGCATGTAATGAGAGTGGTTCATTCGGCCATTAAGTATGCTATGGTGATACTTAATGCCCTAGGGCATAAAGTGGTACTTTATGCCCGCGTATCACAGATATAAAATGTGCTATGATTGGTTAGTAAGACATAAAATAAATAATTATTATGTGCTTATATACTGTCAGCACTAATTTAAATTAACTATAGTCAAATGCGTTTCACGTAAAAAGATAAATTTATTTTTGAAAGTTGTCTGGCGCCGTCTGATAACAAATCACGTACACTCAATTGAAGTATTATACAAGCAAGGAAATGTACATACAGAATGGTTGGTAACTATTGCCAATACATCAAGAATAAAATTAACAAATTCTAATTTTACAACCACATAACATTACAATAACGTCTTATGACGGAATATCAGATTTTCGACGCGTATTTTTTTAATAACCTTTGTCTTGCTGGATTTAATCTTGCAAAGGCGAGATAAGATAAAATGTAATCAACAAGTACTCAAACTGCAATTTGCGCAGTGCCGTTTTCTATGAACAAGTTCAATGACTAGAAACTAAACAAAAATAATCATGGGAAAATTGTGGGTAGCTGGGTACAAATTTTAAAAACACTGGAATAGTCACGAGGACTGGAAATGTGCTTGCATTATTCAATTCTGGTCGCATAGGCGTTGAGCCAGGTGGTCAAAAATGGACGATTGGGTTTCCTTTCTGGGGAGTAAGTGTAACCTACAAATTTAGATCCGTCATGAAGGTAGGATAAATGTTTGGTATGATACTTCGTAAAATTCGGTAGCTTAGTGATGTTATGACGTCACAAAGATGGCCGCCAGGGGAAAATCTTAGTTAAGCATTCTAAAGTCTGGTTTCATGGGTAAAGAATAATAGAATCATACAAATTTTGATTCAGCATAAAGCTAGGATCAATGTTTGAGATGATCCTTTGTGATATTCGGTAGTTTAATTACGTTACGACGTCACAAAGATGGCCGCCGGGCTAAAATTGTAGTTTACCACTCCAAAGTCTGGTTTCATGTTTCATTTGTATGGATTAAGAGTACCATACAAATATCGGTGCAGCATAATGCCATGATTATTATTCAAGATGATATTTTGTAAAATTTGGTAGCTTAGTGACACATGATGTCACAAATATGGCTGCCAAGTGAAAATCGTAGTATGCCGTTTTAAGGCAAGTTTTAAGCCAAATTTTAATTTCAATCAAACATAAAGACAGGATCAAGGATTACTAGTTGAAAACAGCAACCTCACAAGAAAAGAGATAAGGGAATTACTAGGAGGAAAGGCGATCAATAGGCGACTGAAGATGAGGCAGCTGAGATACTGGGGGCATATAAACAGGAGGAACAAAGTGGCGGGGATGCACCCCTGTTAGTACCTAGCAGGAACACATCCCCACGACAGTTGACTAAATTCTGAGAGAGGCGGCTACGCCAGGCATATGCCAAAGTATCAAGTATCATCTCAAACATTGATCCTGGCTTTATGTTGCATCAAAATTTGTATGATACGTCCATTCCCTACAAATACAATTTAGACATTAGAACGTGACCTCGTAACGTACCTGAACTACCGAATGTCACAAAGTATCATCCCAAACATGAATCCTAGCTTTATGCTGAATCAAAATTTGTATGATACTTTTACTCCTTACACATGAAACCAGACTTATAATGCTTAATTAAGATTTTCGTCCGGCGGCCATCTTTGTGACGTCATAACGTCACTAAGCTACCGAATTTTACGAAGTTTCATACCAAACATTACTCCTACCTTCGTGGCGAATCTAAATTTGTATGTTACACTTACTCCCCAGAAATGAAACCGCACATGCCCTCTGGCTCAACGCCTATTAACTCCACACACAAACGCTGGTAACTTCTACACTTCACTTTTCTTAAACAAACAAAACTTGACGAATAAACAACATTACCTTTCCGCTTGTTTACAGACTTACAGGTAATTTTACTTAATTTTAACGTTTTGTCTTATTTCCTACTTGCGGATTTTTTTATGTGTATTTCCTCATGTTGTAATCCCGTTCACACGTTTCGCTACGTCTACATCCTTCGCCTACCTCTACGTTAGCCTGTGCCCGTTGAGTCTGGCCTGGTTCTGCTTTTCTGAAGCCGTTGAATTCTGGTCGCAGTCCTGCCCTATTGGTCTACCGGAGCAGTTATTTTGGGAGCACCGAAACTATTGGTGAGAAAACGAAGTCAGGTAGCGACTACTTACCTCGAGCCGTATATCGATCAAGATCAAGGTTAGATTATCTGTGTTATACGTCCCAAACTTCGGCCTTCAGCTGTCGATAAATAGAAGGGATATGTTCAACGAGTTAATAGTGTAAGAAGTACACCAACTTACGTACGTAACGGCAGAACTAGAGAGGGATAATAAATAAATAAATAAATAAACAAACAAAAACAAACAAACAAATTAATTAATTCATTAATTAACTTCTGTACTGTAGCATACCCGATGTAATGTAAATTAACGGCATTCCCGTACAACAAGGGTATTGTTTTATATTCTAAATACAAATTGCCCTTTTATAGGTCAACTGATAATACTTTGAATTAAATGCAAGATTCCATTATGTCTTCTACGTAAATATGCTGGTTTTCAATTTACAGTATCCCTTTGTTCCTAGTGCTGGTTTTACCTGCCAAGCCGCAATATGAATTACTGACCGCTTTACGTGTTTTTATTTATATTTAAATATAGTATATTCAATACGAGTATGCAGAATTAAACGATGTAATAAATATTATAGCGATTCGTGGATGGTGCTGTATTTGGAAACATCGATACTACATTTTTAATTTATAATTGAATTTCTTGCAGCGCATTTCCTTTCTTTTGCATGAATATGTTACTGTTTATTTACAGGGTGCTTCGTCTGCGGGCGAGTGACGTACGTTCGGGCGTTGATTGTTGCGTATTGCACTTGGCATTGAGAATCAATTACTTTTTACTAATGGACATGTTCCTTTGTTTTGTTGTAATGTGATACTTAACGTCATGCTCCTACTATTTATTTGAACCGGGAAATTAAGATTATTCATATTTGGCAGGGTGACTTGTTTCGAATATGTACTGTGCTATATTTAATACCGATATTTAATCCCGAATTGACGTAGCAGAGGCTGGCTAAAGTTCAGAACTGACATACGCAGAGATATATGTTTTATGTTATAACGTGAGATTAGTTCGGCGCTGTAAAACTCAAACCCCGCCGCATAAACGGCCAGCTAGCTCAGATTCTTAATTAAAAGAAGGGCTCGAGATGAGAATCTTCCACAGCGGTTTGTTCGTTTGGGCATATAACATAAGTTTTTGATCTTTGGTAGTCACTAGAAATGATTAGTTGAGCGCCACCCAATTTTGCACAAATTCTGACCTCTCCTGTATAGAAATTGGGAAAACACAAGAGAGCCAAATAATAAATTCACTACGAGCAATTCTGATTTATTAATCCTGGCAAAAAACGGTGCAGGATCGGCAAATAAAATGTATCTTCAATACGACAATAACAAATACTTTAAATGACAAAAATAATCCCCAAATAAATTCATGAACACTTCCCTAATAATTACGTTACCAGACCCCTACAACAATGATCGAGCAAAAATGTAGTTAAGATTTCAATGGATTCAAAGATTGAATTAAGTTAACCCGAATAACAACTCATATAGGCAACACTGGGTACAAGTAAATTAAAAATCTTACCTTGAATAACACATACGCTGTCTTCTCCGAAAAAGAGCTCTCCTTCGAAGTTCCAGTTCTGTAACACAAAAACAAACCCCAAGCTACAACGCTCGGAACGATTATATGAGCCGGAAGGGCCAAAAATAGCTTACTCGTAGCCGGCTCGTTTACCCATACGTTAAATACAGGTGCGTTGCTCTTGAAGAGAGCCACGACCTCAAACACTAGATGCGAACAAAATACAAAGCTCCAATCATAAATCGTCGGAAGGTTACACTAGATTAACGGTATTGAAGCAATTAAAAAAAAAAGGTTGTGTAAAAGATCGTATCTTCCGAAAATTCCACAATCAGCTGGTCGCTCCCGGTATCGTTTAGGTGTTAGCGCTTATCTACTCGGTGGTACGCCGGATAGCTGCCGGCAATCAACAGGTGTTCGTACTCCGGAATATTCGCAAGATGCAAATTCATTTACATACAAGGATTCGTCTGTACAAGGATTGACCTACTACATGGATTGACCGGTACAAGAATTCATCTACTACATGGACCCCCTAAAAGTAATGAAGATGTAACACTCCCTTAACGAGATTTTTAATAACATACCTGAAATCGTCAGGAGGGTAATGAAAAATACTTAAATCAATGAAATAGGGAAATTATCCAACCTCAAATTGTGAGTCTGAAAGAATTTTAGATAACATAACGTAAAAGAAAGTCAACGCCATTTCACTTACATGTAGGTAGGGCGATGAACTTCAACCAGATATATAGCCTCGCAATGGAGAAAACGGCTTCTGAGTTACTCTACTCGACAACGCCAATAAAAAGGTAAAATTGCCAGAGATTTTACGTGAATGATGGCAAATATTACCCACTGGTTTAAGAAGAATTCACAATGCCACGCTCTACAACAAGTACAACCTCGTTGGCTTTAAAACGGAAAATGAAGTGAAAAATTAACGCGATTCTGCGCAAGGAAAGAAACACGCGTACAAGTGACGCCATCTCACCTATATCCTGCCTAACCTAGCAAGCGGTAATTTTGAAATTTGAATATGAATAAACTAAACTGTTACAATGTACTGGTTTTTTGTCTTAGAAAAGAGCCATCTTGCCGATATTGCTAATCAATTTGTTGAGTCGACCTTTGACATGTAGTGTCTGAATCTGAGTCCAGCGCTTTGTCAGCCAAGAATACGTCTAAACGCGCCTTTATTCTAAAATAAGAAGATTGCGTTATTATATCGAGTGGGCAAGTTGTCAATTTGACGGTTTATTATACATACATATTTTCTTACAACAATTTTCATATAATGTCTAGAAACTTATTAAAGAAGGATACCAAAGGGATTTTATTAAATGGAGCGCACGAGAGTGGAAGCGACTCAGACTTTAGTAGCGATTCGGACGAGCACGGGAGGAAAAATAACTTCAATCTTTCGAAAAGGTCATGTAATTGCGAAGAGAAATATGTAAGAATCAAAAAGAGTAGCATGAAACACGTTTACGTGTCAAAAACGTCGTGTTGGGATGTTGATGAACTAACAATGAAACGTCAGAAGCTCGAACTACATTTATCACACTGCCAACTTGAAGAATCGGTAAACATGGACAAACATGTGCTACTGCAAGTCAAGTTTAATCGACTTGAAAACATCATTACCGCATTCCTTTTTTACTTAGACTGTCTGGAGCTTGAGGAGAAAGCGTCGTACAGACTCTGTGAGCAATTAAACGGGTTAATCGTTAACGAGCAGTCCGTAGTCGTTACGGAAAACTTATCGGAGGTTGTAAAAAAGTTGTGCGGAAAAACTAAATTCGAAAACTACACCAACATCCGGGATAACTTAAGAACCGCCCTTGATATTAGGTCAGAAATTGAGAATCGAATGTCGGACTATAATGATAAAAAAGTAGATTTTACCACGGCTTCAGACAACTTTAAACTACTTCTGCAAAATGCGAACTTAACGATGGCACAATTAGAAAGATTGCAAAGGCAGTTCGATGGTATTTTATTAGAATTTCAGCACAGTAGATGTATGCTAGATCAACAGCTTCCATCGGCGATAGCAAATCGAATGACTGTTTTAGTTAATAGCTTCAGAGATTTGGGAACTAACTTGCAAAAAATTGCTTCGAACAGATCGGATTTATCTTCATTACTTAAGCATTTAGAAACCTGCCTGCGTAATTGCAATGATTTAGTGCCCATAAAAGGAAATCTACATGAAACGAAGGTCGTTGGGGGGCAGCGTAATATGTTGTAATTGCTTGCGCCCTACGGCTATTGCTGAAGATTAATAATATTGTAGGCAAATTCTGGAAACTTTTAAGTCTTGGCAAAAATTCGTGATCGTTACCCTATTCGCATCAGCAATCAGTTAAAAATCGCAGTTTTTTATTATTTACCAACGGAAGGAAAACAGGATGCGACGATATACCCCGCAACGTATATTGTTAACACAAATGTATATATAGCGCCCGCTCACTAATAAAATAAATTTAATCTATTATGAGTTTGCATAAATATCGGCGATAAATAAAGTAAACATGGATGGAATGGAGAAAGGGTAAACGTTAACGCATATGTACGGGTTTAGTGTTTATTAATCTAGGGCGCAATTTATATCGAAATCGGACGTTTAATTACCGGTTGATGGATTTTGCCGTTCCCCCTCACCAAAATCGAGCACGAACGCTATTTTACACGTGAATTTCGCAAAGAATTGCCGTTATCGCACACAATTACTTTTTCTCAAAGAATAATATCCCCTCAATCAAAAATTAACCAAATAGGTACAAACTATAAATTAAACTTCATTTTTATAATAAATTTGCCGAGGTGTACTTATCTGACACCAAAGAAACATTCACCGCTATGAAAATGCATTTCATATTAATGTAACCCCGGAATACTGAGAAATTTCTGGTGTAAATTTTCTGGCGCAAGTATTCTTGGATGAGAATCTTTGGAGGCAAATTTTGTCACAGAGGCTAAGATCTATATTTCAGTGAATTTTCCTTGGACGAAAAAATTCCGAGGGCGAATTTACCTGCTTCTCTTTTTCGAAGGTAAATTATCTCATTAAATTCTTGTCTAGGAAATTGGAAAGAACCACCAAATTCCTAGTGGGTAAGTGGCGAGTAACGAGTGTTATAGCGGTCGCGAATTTTCCTCGGTCACATAAATTCGGAAGGCTAATTTTTCCCTAATTCTGATAGGGTCAATGGTATCTTGTTCATTTTTGTGTTGGAAATAGAACGGAATCATCAAATTCCTGGTGGGTGAGTGGCGAGTTTTCTTATGGGCGAATTTCTGTGGGAGAATTTATCGAATAAAATTGTAATACACATAGAACGGTCGGGAATGTGTCTTGGACTCGTAAAATCTCGAATTTACCTGAATCTCTTAGGGCCGAATCTTCAAAGATCAATTCCTGGCGGAGAATTTATCGAATCAGATTGTAGTATAAAATCTGGAACCTTGGCTAGGTGATTTTGTACCAGATCCGCCTGGTTGGCCGTAAGCGGTTAAGTCTGTGTTGAGCCATCCGACCTCTGCCTCTTTTTCTCTCCACTTACCCGTTTGCCCGCTTGGCCGGAGTTAATTCTAGGTGCCTGTCACTGGATCAAGGTAGGGTCACGGGTTGTGACTGTTGGCGCAATGTGACCCGTTTGGTCCCGCCTGGTCTTCTTTCTCCCTTTCTATTTATTTATTTATTTTGTGTCATATATGTCAGACGCATGATTTCGTCCTCCCAGCTACCCACCCACCACGGAGCCCAACAAGGGGACGTCTATCCAGACACCAGGGTTACCAGGAGAATACAGCTTCTAGAGGGTAGCAGAAAACATGCCTGATTTCTTTTCGAGGTAGGTCATTCGAAAACGGCCTTGATCACTGAACCACTCAAGCCCCACAACCACAACTGTCCACTGAGAGGAGGTGCGTGAAAATCTGACAATGAGATTTTTATTTTTTTTATTTTTAGAGATTTGTGAGGATGTGTCTACCGATAAATTTTAGTACACAGTCGGGCGGACGGACATACAGAAAGTCCAAAATCATGAACGAGTTTTGTCGCTCTTTAATAGGGATAATTAAACGTTACTGTTTCCTAAAAATGCGGCGTTTTTTCGCAATTTTACGAATTTTAAACCACAAGAAGGAAGATTTAGGATGAAGGTATGAAGATATATCAGCAAGTGGGTAATAATTTATGCATAATGTAGCTTATAATTATGCACTTCATAAAAAGACGCTACTAAAATCAAAAGTATCCTAGGTTCGAGGAAATTGTGTAATATATGTAGTCGCAAAATTATGTCCTCCATTGACAAGGTAATTCCACTACCATCACACCATTATTTGAAAACCGAATTTCTATAGGACGAAAGTCATCATGCAATTTATTAATTTTACTGGACAAGATGAGTGTGAATTTTAATTTACATAATAAAGGCAAAAAAAATATGAAACAGACGCAACAGATTAAACGCTAATTTGAATCCCGGGACTTACATCAGCTAGATAACAACGAATAATCCCGCTAATACCTAGGCTTTCCTTTGTCGTGAGACAATGAAATCATTTCCCTAGAATTCTTCCGTGCCGCTAGCGAAGATAAAGCCTCGTCTAACTTTCAGGATTTGTATCTTTCGCTATCGCGGCATCGCCATTTGGGACGATCTTTAATACTCCCATTTTAACATCAAAATAGGAATTTGTGTACAATTTTTATTTTCGACATGCTTTAAGTGAACGGGGTGAAATGACCTCGTTTATTTCAAACGGGCGGCCGTGATAGATTTTGTAGATATCAAAGCTATTCGGTTAAATGTTTCCAAACGTTATTTGTAGAGCAGCGTGTATTGATTTTTATTTTATTAAGCAGTAACAACAAATTGGAATTTTGTGTTGCTTCCCTAACGATATCGTTTTGTTCTCGTATAGCTTAATTTGGACTTGTTTATCTCTGTTGAGAGGTTTGGTATTACTAGGTTGCACAGTTTATTTGGAAGTACATGACCATTTTCTCTATCTGGCCATTTATATGTTTCGGTCAATTCGTATTCAATTCGACAATCTGTCTTGCACATCTTTTTGGAATTATTAATTTGGATTTGTAATTTTTTTTGTCCAGATCTGTATTCTAACCTTCAGATTTTCCTGCTACACCTTAAATCACTCATGCCCATATTTACAATTGCAATTTGCAAGTGCACTTTTTGTAGTCTTTGAGTCCGGGGACCTTACGGTACTCTAGTATTTATGGGGTAGAGTTATGTATACTCAGTATCAATCTTGACCAGGAAGTGTCTGTTCTGGAGATAGGACTTAAAGACACAATGAAATAGTTTATTGGGGGAGGGGGGGGGTGTACGTAGCTTAAGAGGCCAATATGCCACACTTTGTCAAATGCTTGTGATATATCCAAAAAAGCTGCAGAGCAGTATTGTTTTTTTCATAGCTGTCATTAATTTTTTGAACAACACGATGAACCCGTTCAATAGTGGTGTGCATCTGCCTAAATCGAAATTGGTAGCCAGGAATTGCTTCGTTGTTCTGTAATTTGTAAGAGTCCATTTAGCAATAGAAGAAAGAAGTATGGGTCTATATGGTTTTAGGTCATCAGGTGGTTTCCCAGGTTTTGAAATGAGAACAATCTGTTCCACTTTCCACTTAGTCGGGAAGCATCCAGTGTGCAGAATATCGTTGTAAAGTTGCGTAAGATACCTTGCTCCGGTGGCAGGAAGTTTTTTCAGTATTTCTCCTGTCAGTAGATCGTATCTCGGTGCCTTTCCAAGGTGTAAAGTGGCGATGATAATCATTTGCACTTCGGCGCTTTTAAAGCGTTTCATTTGCAGATCGAGTTGGAAGGGTGCTTTTAATGCTTGCATTATCTCATTTTCTTCTTCTGGGCGATTTTCTGCAGACTGTGGTTGGAAGGTCTCTATTAGATGTTCTGCAAATGCGCACGCTTTTTCTAGTTTGCTTCTTGCCAAAGTACCCTGGAGTGTTCTGATAGGCGGGGACGTTTTGTGCGGCGGACTTTGCTAATTAGTCCACTACAACCGGCCGCTTTAGGAAAAATTAAACAGTCATATTAGTGCAACATAAAATCACATTTAATTAAAGACAAAATAATTATAACTCCAATTAAATTAATAGGTACAACTCAATTTTAACGAAAACGATGGCCGCGGTGGGGTGGTACGGAGACTCGGGTGCAAACTTGCTCGTGGACAACTTGCTTCTCGGCCAGATGTGCCGGTTATAATGGCATCGGAAGCTCCAGACACTCAGCCGGAGACGACTGTGAAATTGAGGCAACGGGGTGCCGATGATCGGCGGAAAAAACTAAAATCAAAACTAGAGCACACTAAACGGCAACGATTTCGCAAGTCCCTTCTAGATTAAGCTTCCCAGAAGTCAAAAATACGGGACCGGTGTCAAAATTCGAATTTTGTAAAGGCGCATTGGACGGATGTAACCTGGACTTAAATCGAAGGTTGTTAGTACGATTAATTATACTTATAGAAATGGCCAGGGTACAATTCCAAAATTCTGCAATCCAATTAACACATGGCCAATTGGAATTCGCAGGACATGCGGCGGAATCATCGTTATCTAGCAATATCTATGTAACCTGCATGGCCTCAACTCGTTTTAAATTCACATAGGAAACAAAAACCTGTTAATAATGCCTTAATGTGGCTGAAATTCTAAAATATTAATTGGCCCTTGTCCTCCAAATGAGAAGAGCTTCGAGCACAACAAGGACAATTGAAATATCTTGACGGGAGATTTTCTTTTTGATTTTTTCTGTTACATATTTTGCAAGCAGGCTTCGCGACAAATTGCAACATCGGAGATGTTGGCCGATCGAATCCACAATTGTTTTAAATTTGTAAATCAAGTCTGGTTTTTTTTTGTAATATAACGTAAATAAAGTGACTTTTTCAAAATGTTAATTGACTCGATTATCTCCACTTTTACACAAAACATGTTCGATGTGTCACTATTTAATATTCGCGTAAAACGGCCTCCGACCCTAATCGTTTAGGAACTGTCTATCTTTAAAACCACTAAAGAGGCCACTTAGGGACCTCAGATAGACGTAATAACACTTAAAACAAATAGAAATACTAAATTCTTATAGCAAAATTTTTGAAAAACCGGCGTTTTATATCGATTCAAATTTAACGCACTTGCAAACTTATACGTAACAACGTTTATCAAAAGCATGGTTTCGAAAGTAAGCGTTTAACAACGAAAGAATTTAACCGGCAACTGCCGTTTTGCGTCCCTTTCGATTAAATTTTTATGAATTTTTTACTGCGCACATAGTACATCCAATAGCGTAATGTTTCCTCTTTTTAATCCCATCTCGAGCTATCGTTGGTCAAAGGCACATTCTGTCGGCGCCCTAAATGCGAGTAGGTATAGATTGATTCATTTGCCTAACTTCGGTTATCTCCGTATACGTGATTTAACGTCGATATGGGGCACCGAGCTGATGTTCCCCAGTACACTGTTGTTTAAAGG